ACTAAAGGTTGCTTGAAACCGATGTAATTGTCATTTAGATTATTGTGTGATTGACTTCTTTACTTACTGTTATTGATTTTCTTACATCTTTTTTTTTTTTTTTTTAACCATATAGTTGTTTTTATCAGCTGTTCTGCCAGTTAATAATTAGAAAGAGAGGAAGAAATCTTGCGATTAAATTTGAATATCAGTTAGACTAAGACTGATCATCGCGAAATAAATTTTCTCTTAACTGAAAGTCAAATTTGTATAGCTATTAATTTGATTAAAATGATTTTTATTGAAAACCGTCACAGAGATATTAGGGGAACTAAGTGTTTGCGAATATGCCTTTTAGCAGTTTATTTCAAGTTAGGCAACTTTGAAAGCATTAACGAATTAAAAAGGCAAACACAAACGTGCGCCACGCCCAGAAAATTTACCTTGTTGTTGCGATTGTAATTAAGAGCCGTTCACATGATAAGCGAAGACAAGATGAGCAAAATTTTGTTGATAGAAGAGGTAGGTTTTTATTTTTTTTCATTTTCATCTCGGAAATCTCGGGCTCTCAGACTCGTACTTCTTGGACTTTTTCTTTTACCCAATACCTTTTTCTTCTTTATATTATCATCAATTGCACATAGCTACAGAAGTAACTTTCATCGCCTTACTGTAATCAAATATATATCGCATAAAGATACGGCAGCGGGCACAATTTGAAAATCTCATATCTAAATATTTATGGAATGGTTTTGTAGTGATAATCAAAAAAAATTATTTATCATTATATCAGATTTGATTATTTCTTATTGATTTTTATTTAGATAAGTTTCGCAATCTACTATTAATTAAATTTATTTTATTTATTCGTTATGCGATGATATCTACGCTTTTTCATTTCTTTATTAGTTGTAAAGGAATAAGAGAGTCGACCATTAACGACTTATTACAAATCGTTATTCATCGATTTCGCAAAGAGATGAGAAAGGAAGAGAAGACGAACAGATAGAGAAAGATGAAAAGAAAGAGGAAGAGAGAGAGAGAGAGAGAGAGAGAGTGAAAAAGAGAAAGAAAGATCGAGGGAGAAAGAGAGAGAAAGATAAGAGAATGACGATATCAATGAAAGAGATTACACAACCAAATGCATGATGGATGCATGTGCGTGTGTATTTATATATGTATGCCGATCTTAGAAAAATATGCTTTAAAATGAACGCTATACGTTCTTTCCTACATGTGCATATTCATGTATACATAGTTAAGTTTTGAATGCATGCGAACTTAGTCAAAGTAAAGTGAAACCTTTAATAATTATACCCATAACTAGAAAATAGTGAAAAATATCATTTATATACGAACTTTAAAAGGTTTTTTTTTCAATGAACAAAAGCAAAATGTATTAAAATCTGAATGAAATATATTTTAAAACTTTTCTCTTTAGGTAGATTCATTTAGAATTAGAAATAACCGGGTAATCCTGGGTCTTATTAGAAAAGCTGCTTTTACGGAATCATGCATAAATAAAAACATTATATCACTGTGGTGACAAATATCGCCTACATATATATAAAATCTTTTATTTATTGATTGGGAAACATGAGCTCTTCGTACATTACTTCGTAGTGGAATATACGAAACAACACTGTTGCTCTTATTGTTTTTATGATAACCTCCTACTGCAGGGAGAATTTTTTGTGTAGTATAGTTCAATAATTATTATTTTATTCTTGTCAAATGAATATGAAAATGTTTCTTACCGAGACATATTGTATTTAAATGAAACGGGAATAATGTCATTTCAAAAACAAATGTATTTTTTTTTTTTTTGCATCTGAACCGTATTCGTCTGTACTTTGATCAGTATCAATACAGCGCTATATATTAGGTACAGATACATTCGTGCGTACACATAGATAGATTTTTATTTTAGTCATTAATACGTGCCTGAACCCATTTTTCATTGTAATAATTGAAAAAAATTTTCGACATTTTTTTTTCCTTATTCAGTACTGCATTATCGTCCCGCGCTTTTGCAAACTGGACCGGTTTCGTTTGTTGAAAATTAAAATTGCACCATGAGAAAACGCAATAAAGTATCGCTGGCCTTTTTGGAGAAAAGTTCAAATTTCTATCTTCAAAAAAAAAATAAATAAATAAATAATAACTAAGCGAACTTTATTTATGTACTGATTTTTTATGAAAAATTCCTATTTATATATACATAACGGTTTGGCCTAAGCAACGAATCGTAAAGACAACTTACTTCAATCAATTAAATTTTCAGTCTATGAATATGAAAAATTTCCTTTTTCTTAAACGAGGCAAACTTCATTTCATTTATTAATTGATTTTGTATGAAAAATTCGCAAAATAACCTTGCTTAGGCAAAACGTTAGGAAACCAAAGAAACGTAAAAAGAACTTAGAAGAACTTTAAAGAAGATGAAAAATTATCCTTTTTCTATTTAAAATGTTACATCAGTTTAGCATTTTCTCATTCCTTTTAAATATATTTAGGATTAGATCTAAAAGACTTGCACACATTATTATAACTTGTTTGTCGGTTCGTCCAATCTCTGATTTCAAAAAGTGAACTTATAAAAGAAAAAGCAAAATCTGGATGGATGACAACAAATGAAACGATACTGAAATCAATTTTAAAGAACGTAACATTTTTTAAATTGCTTTTCTCACTTAACTAATTGAAAGAGAGATTTAAGCACATACATCAAACATCGATAATATGCATATTATGTGTGTAATATATATATTAGATGCTTATGATTCGCTTCAAAATGAAATGTGGTTACCTGGATTGACTTATACAACAAAAATACATGCAGTTAAGCATTCATTCATCGCCAAGACTAACAAAATTATTCGAAAATTATTATTTGTATTATTATTTAGATGAAGGTAGATATTTAACTACTAGTGTAGTCTAGTGTATCATCAATTTAAAAAAAAAAAAAATATTTTTTTTTGAGCATATAATAATGTAATATGCGTAAGGTATACATACATACATACGCATAATAAAATTGAGTTGCAAAGATCAATTTGAAGAATGAATTATTTATGATATAATATGATGTGTAAATGATATTTACCTTAAGTTCTCTATATGGGTCTTCAAATTGTTTTTTCAACTTTTATAAAGCGTACAATACCATAGGCCAGAAGCGGGCCAAAGTTGGTGCGCGACAGCCATTATGATAATTGACAAAATGCAAACGGCGACACAACTACGACACAACTAGTGTATGTAGAAGTGATGGAAATAATTATTATTGTTATTGTTGTAATTGCTGTTGTTGATATTGTTGTTATTGTTGTAATTGTTGTTGTAATTGTTGGTGTTCTGGTTGTTGCTGCTACTGTTTCTGCGGTAATAATAATAATAATAATAATGAGAGAGAGAGAGAGAGAGAGAAGACGTCAAAGAATAATAAAAACTTAATTCGAAACATATGAAGAAGAGTTAGATTTAATGCTTCCAAAGATTTATAAAAAATTTTAATTCCTTTTTTTTTCGTTTCTCTCTTATACAGAAATTTTCATTTTACCTTTTCTCCGATTTTGATTTAAAAATTTTAAAGCACGCATACACATACACATACATACATACATAGATACATACATACATACATAAACAGATATGCATAGATACATACGTACATACACATACATACATATCAATATATATACATGCACGCATACACGTAACCACACAAAGGAAGTGCAAGAAAAAATATACTATTTACCGTTTTTTTTTTTTTGTTTTTTTTTTGTCGTTTTTTTCTTTGTGTAAACACTCTTTATTTAAGGCAACATGTGAGAGCTTTCAATTTTCATATTACGATTAGTTTGTATGCACACATGTATACACAATACTATTGTTGTTATTTGTTATTGTTTTCTTTCTCTTTCATTCTTTATCTTCGCAGGAATACACAGCACTGAGAAACTTTTGCTATACATATGTATATATATGCCTATGTATCTGCATGTAGTTGCATGCACACATAACTAATGAATTTATAGGAAACAAATGTGATACCAACTATGGTAGATTGACGAACAGCGGTGGGAATAATATGATAAAAGCAATGTAGAAATAATTGTAGAATTTTGCTTAATATTTAGCAATGTTTTGTTTTTGTGTGGTTTTTTTTTTTTTTTGCTATTTTTTTTTTTTTTTTTTTTTTAAATTTTTATAGGCGAGAAAAAAAATTATTATAAGCACTAATAACAGAACATCACGACAACGTCTAGCAAAGGGGCGACCGACCGACCGACTGACTGACTTAACGAAGGGCAATTTAGTTTGGAGCCTTTTGCCTATGCAAACATACGTACACACCATGCATATCTGTGCATGTATACACACATAGATCAGATGGAATACCGTTGTACAAGTTTTATTTTCAATTTTACTATATTGCAGAATTATTCTCTATTTGCTTATATCGTTTCCGATGATATTTTTATTACTATTCTTATTATTATTATTATTATTATTATTATTATTACTATTATTATTAACCAGAACTTTTTCTTTACCTCATCAGAATTTTTACTTTCGTTTGTGCATTATTTCCACTTTTTATATTTTATACTACACTGTATTCTTTTTCTCATATCTATTTTATCATTTTAAACCAGCAACAACAACGCAAAGAATACCATTCACAGCAGTCAAGCAACCGTTACGTTAAAAAAAAAAAAAAAAAGCATTTCAGATATTATTATGCTTCTTCTTCGATTTCAATGAAAGGTTAAGAATTAAAAATTTCTGAGACACTTTTGCTTTCATTGATTCCTTTTCTTTTATTTAATTTTTTTTTTGTTTTTTTTTTTTTTTTGTAACTTGAACTCAAAGCGGGATAAATAAGATAATTTGTTTATTTATGTTATTTTTCTAATTAATTGTTGCCTTTGTAATAAAGTAATGATGCACTAGTTTAGAAAGAAGAAATTAGGTCTTTAGGCCAAATAAAAATGCCGTGTCGCACCGAAGCTCTCAATATAAACTTGTCTGACTTGCTTTGACTTTGATAGAGACACAGACGAAGATTACCATTTACGATGCCGACACTCTATATAATTCTCCCGTCTATGTAGTTTAGGGAAACTATATTTAAAAAAAAAACAAAAAAAAAAAAAACAAAAAAAAAGCAATAAAGAAGAAAAAAAAAACAAAAAGCACTTACACAGGCACGTTCACATTTACGTTCTCTTTCGCTGCATATACGCGAAACGCACCGTAAAATAGAATTTAAAAAAAGAATTTATTTTTTTTTATTTTTTTTTTTTTATGTAAAATCAAGTGAAATGAAAAGTTCTTGCACATAAATCTTTTCTTAAGTACATTAATGAAGGGGGTGTGTGTGTGTGGGGGGGGGGGGACGCAAATAATAACAATAATAATAATTTTATTAATAATAGTTTTAATAAATTAATTGAGAAGCTCTTATTTTTAAACTGTTGCCTAATTCTTTCAGCTTTTATTACTATCACCCCACTACATTCTCTAGCTCGCACATTAAACTTCCCTCAAAGCGCACATTCTAAACAAATTTAACACACTGACAACCTAATTTTTAACCCAATTCGCTGCAACAGAATGGGACAAAAAGCTGTGTATATGCACACATTTTCATTGTTTTTTTTTTTTTCTTGCTTTTTTGCTTTTTTGCTTTTTCAAATATTTTTTCTCATTTTTTATGCACTACACACTCTCACTCTCTATTCATACATATATATATATATATATATATGCATATATATATATTATATATGATAGCATATATATATACTCGCGCTCTCTCTCTCTCTCTCTCTCTCTCTGTCTTTCTCTCTTTCTCCCTCTCTGTCTCTCTTTCTGTCTTTCTCACCATATTTACATTGATTGTACATTATTCGCATTTCGTGATTTTCAGTTTGTTTTATCTTTGCCCTTATTTCACGTTGTTTTGTCGTTCGTTATACGTTCTTGGCCTTAAATTTTGTATTTGAAGAACAAGGACAGCTTCATAATACCAACCCTCTCAATATGAAATCACCACATTGCTTAGCTTTTTTACGTTTACACTAATACACCGATGCAAGCTAAATGGCAAAAAGCTTTAACATATGCCAATAGCTTTCATTTAATTAATCAGTGCTTTCGTGTGTGTGTGTGTGTGTGTGTGTGTGTGTGTGTGTGAGTATGAAAATCTTTGGGGTTTTTTTCTTCTCAATAACTTGTTACTTTAATTAAAAAGTTTTTTATTTTTTTTTTTTTTTTTTTTTTTGTTTATGTCGCTGAATGGTTTAAAAATTTAAATTTTTAACGGATTTTTGTTTTTGGCGTGTGCTTTTAAAAAAGAGAGAAAAACAAAAACCAAAACAAAAACAAAAACCAATAACATACATTTGAATGCTAAGCAAACGAAAAATGTAACAAGTAGACCCTTGAAAAGTTTATTTGATTTATTCGCTGAGACTTACGACTCCATTAAGAATCTCTTTGCTTATAATAGTTTTAAAATTTCCTATCTCAATTAATATAAATGTGCACACACATGCATACACACACACACACACACACACACACACGCACACACACACACACACACGTATATATATACATACACATTGATAATACATTTTCAAAGGCTTAGAAATCATTTAAAACGCAATCTTAATCTTGTCTACGTTGATTCAATAGTAACTATTTATTTCTTTCTTTTTTCATTTAAGCCCACAACGACATCAATCGATCGCAATATATCAAAGATGGATGCAGTGGTCAATTTATCATTTCGTTTACACTCAAACCTGTTTTTGTGCGGTGAATAGGGACCGTATTAACGCACAAAAAAAGATTTACACACAAGAACAGGTTTAAATGTGCATATATATAAAAAAAAAAGTGATAGTTTCCGCAATACAATTCAAAAGTTATGATA